GGATTAAGGAAACAATTAATTTTACATATTTCCTATATAAAAACACAATTACCCACACACCTAACCATATTTTAACCAATAGAAAAACAAATTACATAATAAAATTAATAAATTTTGCATTGAAAACCGAAAACGACACTTATTTTGTAACACAAAAAATTCTCTACAACGACACTTAATATAAAACGGAGGGAGTATAAACATGATTTCTCCAAAAATCACGGTGTTAGTGACTAGGCTCCAGACAGCAAATCATAGGAGATATCGTTAACCACAACGCAGCATCGGAAAAGATACGATTGATAATATTTAAAAATAACTAGATTTTGACCCGCGCAACCGCGCGGATGTTTGTTTTCGTTTATAGTTATATAAACATTTTGTTTTCACTTGTAAATTGGTATATATTATAGTAATCACATATTTACGATATGTATAGTAAATGTTTTTCAAACATAATAATATTATATAATAAGTGTTTTAATCAAATAGATTGTTTCAAATTTTCTATATTATACATGACTTTCAAACATGTGTTTGTTACTTCTTCTATATTTTATTGTTTGTTAGATTAGTATTTCATTTTTAGATAAAGTAATATAAATAGAGCTTGATTAAATATTAGTGTAATTTAATTTGCAAAGATAATATAAACTTCGAATTTTTTTTTGCTAAAAACTAAACTTATAGCTTCATAAATTAATATTATAAAAAGTTTATTAAAAAGGAATTTTTTAAACAATTTTTTTTTAAACAATACAATTTTAAAAATTTACATCGAAATAAATTTATCTAATATATATATAACTTGTAAATTTTGTTAAGGTATATAAATATTACATATTAATAATCTGTGATTTTTGTTAATATATTCTTGATGCATTTAACTATTATTGACATATTTCCTTATAAATAATAGAAGATTCCTAAATTTATATTTATTGACATATTTTGCGTGACTAAGTTGGAAGGTGTGTGGTAATTTACCAAAACAAAATTGTTAAGCATATTATAAGATATAATAATGATAATATTATTAGAGAGTTAATGTAACATAACTTTCTAGTAATAGTCCATTTTAAAAAAAATCACACATGAAATCAAGTCATGACTTCTGTTTTAATATATAAGATGTGCATGCTTTTATGCGAAAGGTGTCGATTATTCTCGAATTTGAAGACCATACACAGTCCATACTTGCTGGTTAGAACTGAAGACTGTTTTTCGAATCTATTACTAGTTTTATACTCCCTCCGTTTCATATTAAGTGTCGTTGTAGAAAAATTTTTGCGTTACAAAATAAGTGTCGTTTTCGATTTTCAATGCAAAATTTATTAATTTTATTATGTAATTTGTTTTTCTATTGGTTAAAATATGGTTAGGTGTATGGGTAACTGTGTTTTTATATAGGAAATATGTAAAATTAATTATTTCCTTAATCCGTGTGCATAGCTGTAGAGTGACACTTATAATGAAACAGAGTGAGTATATTCATAATATGTTCCACAGAATGACAGTAAAATAAGAGTCCCTTTATCGAAAATATATAACCAATTTTTAAAAATATTAGAAAATATAAATATTATAAATGAATGGGGTTGATATCTCAAAACTAGAGGTACTAGTTCAAATACCCATTCAAGTCTAATTCTGATTTATTTGGGTTTCAGACTTTTAGGACTAAAGATTTCAGCCTCATTCAAATATTTATAAATACCAGGTTGAATCTTTGTGGATTGGGTATGGATTCAAATAACCTATCTAAATTATTTTTAATTTTTAAAATTTATATATGCATTAAATTTTTCAAAATCAAAAGTGAAAAATAATATTTAACATATAACTCTGAGTAATGTATGCCAAAATACATATACTTTATATTAAATTGGTTTGACTTGAATATTTGAATAGAAAATCAATAAATATTGAAGTATTTTTTGTGTGTTTGAGGATTGTTTAGATATTTTAAATATTTTATATTTTATTTTATATATATTTTTAAAAATATTTTGGGTAACTTAAAATATCTTATATATTTTAGATATATTTTTAGATATTAAATTTAAAAATAACTAGTATATTAAAGTATATAAATTTGATTCAGATATATTTGGATACCCAAAATATTTCGGTTTAAATCGGGTTCGCTTCCGGTTCTCTATATAGTAAAATTTGAATTCATTTGGATATTTAACCAAATTTGGTTTGGATTTAGTACTATTTTCTAAATCGGATTCGGTTTTGATTTTTTAGTTTCGAGTTTTTTACCTAACCCTACTCAAATTATGAAAAATTCAACTCAAAATATCATATTAGAGATATTTTAGGTTAGATTTTTGATAGTTAAATTAAGAAATACATGTAGTTAAATAAAACATTCTATATATACTACACTAATACTTGAGTGACAACTATATGGTAAGAAATTTCCATTGGAGTTGTTTTAATAGTACTAGCCATTCGAACCCATAGATGCATACATATAATTAAAAATTGTAGATTCTATTATATGTATATAACTTTTTGTTTGTTTAAATGCTAATTACCAATAAGAAAATGGCATATAAAGTAGTTATAATTTCTGGATAGGATTAGTGAATATTAAGAATATAAAATGAATTAAGAGGAACTGAAAGCAGAGACAACAATATTGTAGCTGAAAAATAATAAAGAGTAAAAATTTTCTCACATTTCATTTTTTCCAAATCGATTAGTACACATGAATTATATCTAATATAATTTTTAAAAAAATACCTATGCCAAACTAAACATGATTTGAAAAAAAATAAATCAATAAGAAGAATCAACATAAATCATAGCTGAATAAGAACTATGAGCATATTGTGCAAATTTATATTCTATTGTATTTTTATTTTAGTATATGTTGTATAATAGAACTATGAAAGAACACATTACATTATTAGGATTTCATCATCTCTCATAATTGAGAACAATCTTCATATATTTCATAATCCAATAATCCAAATAAGAGTTTTAATAGTAAAAAAATTACTTGGAAAATGATAAATGACTCAAAAGCCTTCAATTAATTGTTAACTCTAAAAGATGCATTTCATCTCACACATTAGTGCATTTTCAACAATTCTTTATCCTCTTGTTTTCTTGAAGTTTTGCATTCTAAAAACTTTTGTATTTTAGAATTTTAGTTCTAAAAACTTTTGTATTTTAGATCAAATTTGACGGTACAACAATTTATCGCTCTATATATTATTTAATTTTCATTTTATTTTTTATAATCATATATCTTCCACAGTTGAAGGAATAAATATTATTATATACATATTTTGGTACTTGCCATTTCATATTTTCGTAAGAATATTTTGACATAAAGAACTTTTTTTTGTTCAACACATGAAGAACCTAATTAATACAAAATGACCATAAAATCCTTATTTTATTAACTAACCAAAACCCAATTTTCTCTTTCTATCTGTTTACCCTCTTATTACAATTTTTTTGTGTGGTCATTTCATAAATAAGCCTTTGTTGATTTCACTCCAAAATAAAGTAAAGTTTATTGATTGAACATTTCTTGTTTTAAAAAGAGAGATTAAAGCAGGGATGGCCCAAAAAGATACTAAAGGAAGAAAGGTGCAGAAGAAGAGTCACACGCTTCCAAAGTTCTACTAACCATCAAAACCGCCTGCAAGTCTCTCCCCATGTGCTCTCTCTCTCCAAAGTTATTATGTTAGGCTCGTGATTTTCTTTTCAAAAGTTTGCAGCTTCTAGGTTTTATAAACTTTAAAAACAAAATTCAAATAGCACATCTGTAGAAACCATCACAAGAAAGAAAAGAATCCTACCTTTTCTTGTTTCTTTGGTAGGAGAATCGAACTTTTGTAACATTACTTAACCATTGGTAAAAGTTTATCAAAATTTGAATTTAAATTGAGTAGATAAATAATTTAATGCAGTAGTGGAACGTACGTGTTAGACCAGATGAGAAACCAAACAAATTGAATTAACAAAACATTGAATGATTATTTAATAGACTCAGTAACTACCAAATTTAAAGTAACCAACCTTCATTATATAGTCGGATACAACCAAAAAAAAAAAACAATAAGGCAGACGTCCCCAAAACCTTCACAAAACACCAAACATTTAAAATTACACGTATAAAATAACATTCGAATTTTTCTTGTGCATGTTTATATAATTAAAAATATAAAATAAAAGTAGCCTTTTTAAAAACAATAAAAAACAAACTAGGAAGAGTTGAAGAAAGAAAATAATAGCAGTAAATAAATTTAAAGCAGTAAATGAAAGGTCAAAACATTCTATAAATGCCACTCCAACCATCAACCTTCTTCTTCACTCCCATCAAAGCAACGACCTCTTCACATTCCATTTTCCCATCTCCAAAAAGCTCTGCACTTTCTCAAACAGAATGTTCATGTAAACATCTCTCTCTCTCTCATTACATTCTCTCTTTAATTCTAACTGTTTTTCTTACATCTTGCTAGTAATAATGTCTTGAGTACTTATTTTGTTTCATATTAATTTAACTGCAGGGGAAAAATGAGTCTTTTGGGGATTTTCTTGTTGGGTCTAGCTGCAATGACGTGCTCTGTTCATGGATACGATGCTGGTTGGGTTAATGCTCATGCCACTTTCTACGGTGGAAGTGATGCTTCTGGAACAATGGGTATGTTTCTCTAAACCATAAACTCAATTCTTTTGATGAAAACTTATTTTTGTGACATTTCTCCATTTTTTTTTGTCTCTAGGTGGTGCTTGTGGGTACGGTAATCTTTACAGCCAAGGATACGGAACCAACACGGCAGCTTTAAGCACCGCACTCTTCAACAACGGTCTTAGCTGCGGCGCGTGTTTCGAGATACGTTGCCAGAGCGACGGCGCGTGGTGTTTACCTGGTGCTATTGTGGTCACAGCAACTAACTTCTGTCCTCCGAACAACGCACTTCCAAATAACGCAGGTGGTTGGTGTAACCCTCCGCTTCACCACTTCGATCTCTCTCAGCCTATCTTCCAACGCATTGCTCATTACAAAGCTGGTGTTGTCCCTGTTTCTTACCGAAGGTAAATTAAACTTATTTACCTGTTGTAAAGTTTCTGTCTTTATTTAATTTTAAAAAAAGTTTTGTCTTTTTTTTTTTGAAACTAAAAAAGTTTCTGTCTTTATGTTCAATTTTCTTAACTTTGTATTGATTGTGTACATTTTTATTTGTAGGGTTCCGTGTAAGAGAAGGGGAGGTATAAGGTTCACAATCAATGGCCACTCTTACTTCAACCTTGTCTTGGTTACTAATGTCGGCGGCGCTGGAGATGTTCACTCTGTTGCGGTTAAAGGTTCAAGAACAAAGTGGCAGCCGATGTCAAGGAACTGGGGGCAAAACTGGCAAAGCAACAATCTTCTCAATGGTCAAGCGTTGTCCTTTAAGGTCACTAGCAGTGATGGTCAAACCGTTGTCTCCATTAACGTTGCTCCTGCTAGTTGGTCCTTCGGACAAACCTTCACCGGCCGTCAATTCCGTTAAGATTGTGTCAGAAGTTCGGTTTATGTAGTTTAGGATTTGTGTAGTGTCAGAGGGTAGAGGAGAGAAAGAGGGTTTAAAGGCTCTTTAGGGTTTTAATTGGAGATCCATTAAACTCTTGAGGGTAAAATGGTCAGAAGGGCTTGTTTTATAAGGGCTCTTTTAGTCATTTAAGAACTAGGGTTATAGTAAGTGAGTATTAAGTAATGTGGTGTGTGCATCTTTTAGCAAAGGGACCTCTATGTAATGGTTTCCTTTGTTTTATCAACTTTTTTTTTTTACCTTCTGACTTTTGGTTTGAAAAGCAGAAGTGGGTAGGGGCAGAGGAGGAACTTCACCACCCGCCATGTGTTTTGTTTTTTTTGGTTTGTGTTTTGTTTTTGTTATGAAGTTGTAATGTAAGGGTAATCTTGTGTGCTTTTCATAAGTGTTAAGTTACCAAGTATGAACTTTATGTTGTTCGTGTGATATCATTTTCTTATAGTTAATCGCTTCCTGTCAATACATCAAATATATTTCCAAAGGAAAATAATGAAAATCATAACCCCATGTGACCGAACCTTCTCCGCAACAAAACTACAAAAAAAAAATCCAAGTACTATATCCCACATAAATAACCTGAGTGATCACCTACTTGTTATCAACTTTCTTTTAATAACTTTTTAAAAATTTTAAAAGCCTGATAGAATAATTTACTGTCCTTTATTTGGTTGTATAATATTTATTGATAGCTGAAGAATTGTCATAACGATGTCAAAAATGTCATTGTCTAGAGACTACACGACTGTAGTTAGTCTTCCTCTGTAGTGGCTTGTGGAGTATAACTGTATATACAGTACTTTCAAGCGACAAGGAGTGTATGTAGTGTAGTGGTGCGTTGTAGGAAGTGGCCTTACCATGTAAAATTTGCAAACCACCAAATATTTCATGATGATGTATTCTAACTGAGTTGGACATCTGTGTGTATTTTAGTATAAATTAAGTGGTTACTTCTAATTCATTTCTAGACAATGGTTACTTTATAAGGCAACATCAACATAAAACTAAGTTGAACTGGTAGCAGCTCTTATGTTTTCTAATGATTTGTCCATGTTATAAAACGCATCTAAAGAAAAACTATTATCCGTTAGTAGTATTCATACTTTTAAACTGAAAATGTAAATATATTCTGAAGAAAAAGTGTATTAGTCTATGCACCTAGACGATATTCATTAGTATGCATATCTGATATCTAAGAAACATAGAACCATTAAAATCATGATGTAATATTTTTGAACTTGTAAACACGTGGGAAAAGTTCAATAATATTTTCATGTACTGTAATGATAAACGTGTCCTGTTATGAATGAAAAGACGGTGGAGGAGGAGGCTGCAAGGCTGTAATCCATACTCGAATCTAGTAACGTTTGAAGCTAGAGATACATTTCATAACTTCTGCTTTGTCTCTTTTTATCTATTTGTCCGTTTCATTTCCACGCTTTTTCTGTGTGTGTTGCATTCACTTCATTCCAATACAATATAGCTGTATTCTTATAGAGAAGAAGAGAGACAAGAGAATCTGCACTTCTCCTCCATTTGTTAGAGTTCTCATCTTCTTAGTGTTAGCATTTTCGTTTGACCAATCTCTTTTTCATCATTGTACCATGAGTAGTACTAGTTTTCTAGTTTGAGAATTAATAATGCTACTAATCAGCTCTTATTGGCTGCTTTCATCATATTATCAAATGGTATATTACCTTTTGTGTATAATGTTAACTTTCGCACAATAATTTATTCTTCGTTTGGAGTCTTGAACGTGGAATTCCACTATACCAAAGTAGACTGATTCAAATGAAACAAAAGCCCAATTCAAATTCAATGTTCTACATATGGTGCCAAACTAAATTAGGCCAAAAGTAAAAAAAATAGATGAAATGCATTATTTCTACTTAAAATGCATAAGAAAATTCAACTAAATTACGTCAAAAAACAAAAACAAGTATATGAAATGCATTATTTCTACCTAAAATGCATCAGAAAATTCAACTAAATTACGTCAAAAAGCAAAAAAAAAGTACATGAAAGGCATTATTTCTACCTAAAATGCATCAGAAAATTCAAACTAAATTACGTCAAAAAGAAAAAAAATACATGAAATGTATTATTTCTACCTAAAATGCATCAGAAAATTCAACTAAATTACGTCAAAAAGCAAAAACAAGTACATGAAATGTATTATATCTACCTAAAATACATCAGAAAATTCAACTAAATTACGTCAAAAAGCAAAAAAAAAAAAATACATAAAATGCATTATTTCTACCTAAAATGCATCAGAAAATTCATCAAAATTACGATAAAAAGCAAAAAAAATACATGAAAGGCATTATTTCTACCTAAAATGCATCAGAAAATTCAACTAAATTACGTCAAAAAGCAAAAAAAAAGTACATGAAATGCGTTATTTCTACCTAAAATGCATCAGAAAATTCAACTAAATTACGTCAAAAAGCAAAAAAAAGTACATGAAATGCATTACTTCTACCTAAAATGCATCAGAAAATTCAACTAAATTACGTCAAAAAGCAAAAAAATACATGAAAGGCATTATTTCTACCTAAAATGCATCAGAAAATTCAACTAAATTACGTCAAAAAGCAAAAACAAGTACATGAAAGGCATTATTTCTACCTAAAATGCATCAAACAATTCAACTAAATTACGTGAAAAAACCAAAAAAAGTACATAAAAGGCATTATTTCTACCTAAAATGCATCAGAAAATTCAACTAAATTACGTGAAAAAGCAAAAAAAAATACATGAAAGGCATTATTTCTACCTAAAAGGCATCAGAAAATTCAACTAAATTACGTCAAAAAGCAAAAACAAGTACATGAAAGGCATTATTTCTACCTAAAATGCATCAGAAAATTCAACTTAATTACTTCAAAAAGCAAAAAAAAATACATGAAAGGCATTATTTCTACCTAAAAGACATCATAAAATTCAACTAAATTACGTCAAAAAGCAAAAACAAATACATGAAAGGCATTATTTTTACCTAAAATGCATCAGAAAATTCATATTATCTCATTGCTTTTCAACTAAATTACGTCAAAAAACAAAAAAAAATACATAAAAGGCATTATTTCTACCTAAAAGGCATCAGAAAATTCAATTAAATTACGTCAAAAAGCAAAAACAAGTACATGAAAGGCATTATTTCTACCTAAAATGCATCAGAAAATTCAACTAAATTACGTCAAAAAGAAAAAAAAAGTACATGAAATGCGTTATTTTTACCTAAAATGCATCAAAAAATTCAACTAAATTACGTCAAAAAGCAAAAAAAAATACATGAAATGCATTATTTCTACCTAAAATGCATCACAAAATTCAACTAAATTACGGCAAAAAGCAAAAACAAGTACATGAAAGGCATTATTTTTACCTAAAATGCATCAGAAAATTCAACTAAATTACGTGAAAAAGCAAAAAAAAGTACATGGAATGCGTTATTTCTACCTAAAATGCATCAGAAAATTCAACTAAATTACGTCAAAAAAAAAAAAAAAAAGTACATGAAATGCATTACTTCTACCTAAAATGCATCAGAAAATTCAACTAAATTACGTCAAAAAGCAAAAAAAAGTACATAAAAGGCATTATTTCTATCTAAAACGCATCAGAAAATTCAACTAAATTATGTCAAAAAACAAAAAAAAGTACATAAAAGGCATTATATCTACCTAAAATGTATCAGAAAATTCAACTAAATTACACTAAAAAGCAAAAAAGGTACATGAAATGCACTATTTCTACCTAAAATGGATCGGAAAGTTCAACTAAATTACGCCAAAAAACAAAACAAAAAATATATGAAATGCATTATTTCTACCTACAATGCATCAGAAAATTCAATAACTTTCGAGTAGTAGTTTTTGAGCCCTCTGTTTAGAGTTAAGAAACAGGTAAAAAACTTAATGGACACGTCGCTGTTATCGAGTCCCGTGTAAAACAAAAAAAACGCGTCTACGTTTTGTCACGTAACCCATCAACGGCGTCGAGATTGCGACGTCATTAATACGTGTCGAACACCAGAGAGTTTGTTGTCAGAACTAAACCGATCCTACACCGTCCCAGCTCTGCTTCGTGTTTCAGGTCGCACGTTGTAAGAACAAGATTTACAAAATAGGCAAGTACAGAACAAAACAAAGTGGTCGTGTGTAATATCAATAATATCAACATAGTAAGAATGGACCAGACCCATTATGCAAACGTTTTAACCATACAGTAGAAGAAATAAGGCCAATTAAGAGCCCAAGTCATACAAACAGAACATTTTTTATTTATTGAAGGTTTTGTTGTCTTTGCTGTGCATTCTGCAACATATTAGGCTGTATATTCTGCTAATTGGTCTGCATATTTCCATGGCCACGTCCTCCTTCTCCTTGTTGTTGCTGCTGCTGCTGCTCAGATTGAGACTCTTGCGTTTGCATCATTCCACTGCTGTTAGACACTGCAAGAAACGGTAAAGGATAATAAGTTAGATTAATCAGTTTAAAAATGTCAGAATCAGAAAGTTTACAAGACTTGTTTGCTTACTCTGGTCACCCAACGTTGGAGAGGCATGCCTTGTTGGTCCTGTGGTATCAAAGTTAGCACCAGATGAAGATGCAGCTGAACTCTCCATAAGTTGTGTTCCAGAAACCTTTTTTAAAAAAAAACTCAAAAGACATGAACATCCATCCATAGACAATGATTCTAACACAAGTGATAATCATCAAAAACTAGTCATTGCATAATCTAACCTGCATCAGATCTTCTTGACTGTTGATGTTGTTTGATGCCACATTATTGCCTAACAAAAAGACAGTTTCAGACTTATAAACAGACCCTACAATGCCATGTTTATAGATATAGAACGAGATAACAAGCATAGAGTGTATCTTATTGGATTAACTTCTACCTGGATCGAATAACGCAGCTACCATATGCGGAGGAAGTGAAGTAGTGATCTCTCTCTGGTCTGGAGGCATTAGTCCTTCAAAAACACAATTGTATTGAACTTAGCAAAAAACCAAAAAAAACCGTATAGCTTCTGACCAAAACTGAATCTCTCCCTTTACCTGTACCCTCGTTTACAGATCCACGTAGCATGTTCTCCTGATCCAGAATCTTTGCAGCTTGAACTTTATCCATAGTAGGAAAAGGAGACATAGAAAGACCGCTATGTGGGGGAAATCCATAAGCTTTACGAGCATCAGCCATCTCTTTCGCTGCACTTTCACAAGCCTCTGCAATCTTACCAATCCTCTCCTGAGTAAAAAAAAAAAAAAGAAAGATTCTTCAGCAAGAAAACTCCTACACAAACGCAAACACAAACTCTCATGATACCTTTAGGGTTTCGATTTGCGTAGCTATAGGCAAACTCTGAACCTCTTGAAGCAACCCTTCTCTCTTAACGTTGTTATCAGTTTCCATCTCGGGGAGTAACTTCGTAGACAACATAACCGGTAAAACTGAAACATCACCAAACACACAGTTTCATCATTTTATTTCGAGAAAGCAAAAAACATACACAAAGAAAGAATCGATTCGATAATCATACTTGAAGCATTCTCGGCGTTAACGTTCTTTGGAAACACAACCAAGTTCTTGGAAACTAGTTGTAGTACTTCCACGAGGATAAAGAGATCAAGATTTATCATCTTGTATTTCTTAAGAATGTCCTTCCTGTAAAAACAATACAAAACAATCTTGTTTCTTGAGTGACAAGAAAAGAAAGATCAAAAAGGAAACTAAAATGTGTTGGAGGGAGTCTTGAGGATGGGAACCATTTAGGAGTAGTGTTGGTTTCGGTATAAGCGGAGACTTCTTCAAGGACTCGTGATATGGTCTTCATTAAGCTCAGTGCTTGTGTCTTTACGTAGGCTAGATTCTGAAGCTGCTCTGCTTCTTGATTCTGCTCCTCAGCTACTGGTGGAGGCTGTGTCGCTCTCTCCATTGGTATACAAAGAGAGAAGAGAAGAGAGAGAGACGCGAGATTGATGGGTGGGTGATTGAGTCGGAGGAGTGGTGTTTGTGTTCGTTGTGATTGTTATCGAGTGAGAAGTTCGTTGGAGAGAACTGAGAGGTCTTTATATTTATAAGCTTTTTAAAAAGATGGGCCTATTATTTGTATCCAATATTTGGGCTTTAACAAAGTTTTTTCCGCCAAAACTTGGGGTTTTAATTCTTTCCTATCTTTTTTTTTTTTTGGTAACACAATTCTTTCCTATCTAAAACACCATATTTTTGCCACAATAATATACTTTGCTCCTTAAAAACTACCAAGCCAAAACCGATAGAGAAAGAAGCTCTACATGTTGTTGCACTTTTTTGTTGGTTGTAAACATGTTAAGATTGTATTATCATTTAGAAGTTTTTGAAAGAGATTATAGAAAGATATGAGTAGCGGAATAACAAAAATACAAAGAAATGGACATTAGATAGGGACATCTACAGTTTGAAGCAAGCGCCCCTGCACTTGGATAGCTGACTGCAGGAATCATCTCTCAACTCAAACGAGAATTTCCAATAACAGAGTTGGGACACACCTCAGCTATTTTCTTGGAATAAAGGTTTGAGTATAACAACTCGAGGGTTCTACTATCTCAAAGACAGTATCCGACTGAGATTATTGCAAGAGCCGGCATGACATAACGAAAATCAGTATCCGCTCCGGTCGATGTACATTCCAAACTCTTAGCTGACTCTGGTGATCCAATAAAAAAATCCGACTGAACATAGAAGTCTCGCCTAAGCTCTCCAATATGCAAGACCCCCGCAAACATCACATGAATGCACTTCGTCGCATCATCTGTTACATTCAAGGCTTGAACAAGCTCACATGTTCTGCAAAATTTTCAAATAAAAAAAACACTCATAGCATACTCTGAATGCAGATTGAAGAAGGTGCCCCGATACACGAGGGTTTCCATCCGGCTATGCTATTTACCTCAGTGACAAATCTGATCTCATGGGGCATCAAAGCGTCAACAAAACAATATCAAAGTCCAGTGCAGAAGCAAAGTACAAAGGAAGTTGCTTTTTGTGTAACCACCTAATATTGCTTGAGCTACACTGTCCTCTAAGTACATCAACGTTAGTGTTCTGTGACAGCATAACCTCAGTGTATTTATCTACAAATCCAGTGAAGCAGCAACATACGAAGCAGACTGAAACTGATCAACACTTCGTCAGGGGAAAAGTGGCAATGGAACAAGTCAAGGTTCTTCAAGTTCCCTCATCTCTACAATATGCTAATATACTACTGTTGCATTTATCCTCTCCTATTTTAGGGAATCTCTCAACTGTAGCTTAAAATAAGATCCTCCTCTGCACGTTTTAAATCAAGAAAGAATACATAAACGTTGCGGCAGCCTCTTGGACTCAATACCCTGAAGCTTACAAGCACCTGATTGGCTGATTGCTTCCTCCTATTATCCCAAGATAACCTCCACTGAGACGACCAAGACCTCAGCTCCAAGCCAAGTAACCGCTCTTATTTGGAGTGAAACAAAAGTCGGCCACAACCAATAGACCCTGCATAACGAAAAGAAACCAACACCAAAAAGAGGCAAGGCACTCAAGACAAAGAGCTATATAATATACATGTAAAGTGTCTTTTTATGTTTTAACTGAAATAATAAACATCGTTTTGTTTTGTTTTACAAAGAATGAAAAAGAAAAAAAAACAGACACAAAAGCTATAGTTTTTGTAGGAAGGGAAGGAGAGAGAGTTTTCTCATCATCTCTGGCTGTCATGGCGTTACTTTGACAGCCTCCAAAGACACACTAAACATATCTGCCGGCAAACAAAAAAAATGGGAAACCTCTCTGTGTTTTTTCATCAAAAATCCCAGATTCTCATCCGATGGAGAAATTATGTATAGAAATTAATAATCACGTATTGTTGCAATCTACCAGCATTCACCACTGGTTATGCTTCTTCTTGGAACCAACTTTAAGAACTCTGCATGACTTTTTCTTCTTGATGTATCTTAAAAAAAACATTGGTGACGTCTTCAACGAGATGTTCTATCATCATTCATTAAATCCCTCAGTTCGGTTGCTGCATCTATAAAAAGAATGTCAAAAAAGAAAAAACCCATCTTGAATCACTGCAAAAGTTTTGATTTTGATGAATGTTTGAAGAAGAGAAGAATGTATCTTTTGTATTACCTGGGAAAACAAGTATTCGTCCAACATAGAGATAGAACAAGGCAAGGAGCTGCTGTTAGAGCCAAACCTTCCCTGGTTGGTAATGTTATTGTAAGCAGAAGATCCAGGTGGTGGTGCTTCGAAGAATCCGTTCATATGATACTCTCTCTGGTTCATTGGAAAGTTGAAAACTGGAGGAGGATGAGGAAGAGGCAACGTTTGGTGATGATTCAGATCATTCTGCAGAGTGGGAATGTATGGAATAACGTTATTATCAGTGAACTGCTGCTGCGGGATTGTTTGTGGTTTCAAATGTCCGTTGGTTCCAGCGGCTAACTCATCAAGAAAGCTTGTTTCTTGACCTGAAATCGTTATCTCTGGAGATTTCCCTGTTCCGAAGTATCCTGGATAGCTCCCAAATGAAGAACTCGCAGAGCACTCCACTTCCCTTTAGATTATACACACAGTTTCTATGATTAAGATATGATCCAGAAGTAGAAAAAAAGATGTGAGAGTTTTTTCACTAACCTCTGTGGGATTGAATTGTGTTCCTCGGTGACAATGTTGGCTGTGTTGGTATTAAGAATCCATGGCATAGATTGAAGTTGTTGTTCTAAAGGAATCTGAATCCCATCTTGCAACTGAAAGTTTATAAGACTCAGATTGTTTGAATGAGATAACAAAGAAGAATCATTATGAGTAAATTACCAAGTTGGTTGACCAATCTTTAACAAAGTTTGCGTTTTCGATTTGCATTGCCTGTTGCTGCTGTCCAAAATGTTCCTATCAACAAAATAAAGATTCTGAGTTTTCCTTTTTTTTGTTAATGCACATGAAGTGAAGTTGAAGGGGTTTTTAAAAACAAAGTATTACTTTATGCGCACGCAACTGATCAAGGGATTGCCTGATCGAAATCTCGAGCTGTCCCAAATCTTCAACGTTGTTTATCTTATCAGGTTCTGTCCAATAACTGCAGAACATTATACAATAGGTATGAAACAATGTAGAAACATAAAGAAAACAAAGGAGACATCAACTTCAGAAAGATCCTTATTACCGTAATCTTCCATGTATTTCAGAAATTCGATCTTGCAGAATCCTTGCTTGAGTACTCAAGTCCTGATAAAATAGGGTTTTGTAAGTTTTACGCTTTGGCAAATCTCACAGACGTGATAAAATGGAAGAGAGTCTTATAGTGAATACCTCTGTCGTTGGATTACTTGAACCAGAGCAGAAGAAAGCAAACAAGACAACGAGAAAAAGTTAATGTTCATCATCAAGCTTTCTTGCAAATGATTTTGTCAACAAAATTTTTTATATCACCTACTAACCTCGAGGATATAAACTCTCGTATATTTACATGATGATCCAACTTTTGGAAAGTTTTCTTCAAGACCTGAGCTTTCGAAAAACAAAAGCATTTGAATCAGGGACCAAACCAAAAAGCTTCTCTAGTCTAGGATTGGAATCAAACTAAGACTTGTTTTAATTGTGTGAGACAACTTACTTCAAGACTCTCGAGCTTCCTGTATTCAAAACCAAACAAGAAAAAAAAACAGGTGAACAACGCCGAAAGAAACATATCGGTAAGAAATAAGAAAAAAGAATCAGGTAAACCTTTTAGCTCTTTCCTCAGGTGTAACTTGAGAAAACTTAGCAATCACCTCTTCAATGCCACTGAAACAACCAATCAACAAATCAGACCACAAAACACACAAATTGTTGGTTTTATGTTGTGGAAAACAAAACAGACAATATACCTTCGTGTACCGCAACATAAGGAAGGTTTACCACTAGGAGAGAACATAAGAAGAACAAGATCAATGTCGCAAAGAACAGACAGCTCGCTCGCCTTTTTCAATATCCCATTTTTCCTTTTAGCAAACGTAGCTTGCCGCCCTGCTGTGTTCTCTAACTTCTTTATCTTCAATTTCACCCTTCCCATCCTGTTCCCACACAAAGATCCAAATGTTCATTCAATGTTCTGTCTCCTCTATTCGACACAACAATAAACAAAACTCGATTGCCATATCTATTACACAACCAGATACTTTGAAAAATGTGATCTTTTACAAACGATTTGAAAACCCTAATCGTTAAAGAGGAAAAGGGGAAAGATTACCTAAAGAAGCAAATTGAAACGCCAAGCGGATACAAACCATGAAGGGAGATCTTAAAAGGGACCTCTCTCGAGAAGAAGAGAATGAAAAAGCAGAGGTAGAAAGAGAGACAGAGAAGAGGAATGCGGTTTCCATGAGGCTCCGTAAATTACGCTCTTCTGATAGAGCTCCTTGAGAATAGGGATCCCTTTCCACATGATGACGAAGATGAGAGAACCATAAATATATATCAAATAATATTTATTCTTTTTTTTTAAATAAAGAGACGACGACGACGACGTTTAGCTGTTATCTATCTATTATTACTATTTTACCCTTACTCCCATCGTTTTAATTTCTAGGCATAATATCCGTATCCGAAGTATTGACCCGAAACCGACCCAAAAATCAGTGTCCCGAACTCGATTGGATATTAGCCTAAATATCCGAAAAATCCTTTTTATCAGAACTTGATAAACCGAAACCAAACTCGACCTGTATCGAGAACCGAATGAATATCTTAACATATCCAAACATATAAATATATATGTGAAAAATAATATCTATAATTAACCTTTGCTAATAGTATACCTAAAACTAAAATTATATATCAAATATATTAATTATTTTGAATATTTATAAATAGAAATGGATGTTTTGGATACAAAATACCTAAATAATATTGTATCTATGATTATTTTGGGACAAAAAAATAATTAATTTGACTATATATATTGAGTGTTTTGGAATTTTAGTTATTTTTAGATAACTTGAGTAGTTTAGATATAAAATATCTAAATAGAATCGATTATTTGGGTTATAATATGAATTCACCTAGCATTCGAGAAGACCCGATTCGAATCCGACCCAATTTTTTGTAATACCAAAATAAGATAATTTTTCAAAACCCGATACCTGAATGGGTTGTATTCATATCCGAAAGGGGATCCGAACGTCTAGGCTATAAGAAGAACAATTAAAAAAAAATTCTCTGAAGCACGAAGTCGTTTCAATGTCACCCTTTTATTATTACCATTTCACCCTCACCCCATCGCTTTATCCACTCCACTCAAACTAAAAAAAAAAACACCTCAAAACGTTTTCCTCCGCCGACGATGCTCTCACGATACTGCCTCCTCCCACCACCATTCATCTCCGCCGTCAAAACCCGATGCTTCTCCGGAGAAACCTCCGACACAGGCCTCCTCTTCCGCGAAAAGCTAATCTACCTCCAAGACCTCAACGTCGACCCCCACAAAGCCCTCCGAGTAAACCCCTCTCTCCGCTCCACTCCAATCTCCTCCGTCGTCTCCGTCGAAACCCTTTTAACCTCCACCGGCCTCTCCCGCCCCGCCGTCGGCCGCATCCTCGACATGTTCCCCGACCTCCTAACCTCCGACCCCGAATCCGACATCTCACCAGTTCTAAACTTCTTGTCGGAAGAGATCCATCTTTCCGACCAAGACATCCCTAAGTCGATATCTCGCTGTCCTAGACTCCTAATCTCCTCGGTGGACTCCCAGCTCCGTCCCGCTTTAGCCTTCCTTAGAACCCTAGGGTTCGTGGGACGAGACACGGTGACGTCGAGGAACACGGTGTTGCTTGTGTCGAGCGTGGAGAGGACTTTGATTCCGAAGATTGAGTTTTTGGAAGGAGGGTTAGGGTTTAGGAGGGAGGAGGTGGCGAAGATGGTGGTTAGGTCTCCGGCGTTGTTGACGTATAGTGTGGAGAATAATTTGGCGCCGAAAGTTGAGTTCTTTGTGGGGGAGATGGGTGGGGATGTGGAGGAGTTGAAGAGGTTTCCTCAGTATTTTTCTTTTAGCTTGGAGAGGAAGATTAAGCCGAGGCATAGGTTGCTTAAGGAGCACGGGATTTTGATGCCTTTGTCGGAGATGTTGAAGGTTAGTGATGGCCAGTTTAATCTTTGGCTTTTGGAACTTCGGCTTAGGTCTGTTGATAGGAGATTGTAAAAGGTTTGGCACTTTTGTGTTCTGTTTCGTTGAGATTTAGAAGACATTTTACTTGAGCTTGTGTAGAGTCAAGGAAGTATGTATTTGAGAAGTCAAAGTTGTAGTTGTGTAGGGATGTTGGAATCTATACAAGCTCAAGTGTTAAACTCTATATTAAGGTTTTTATGGTCTCTTTTACTGAGATTTTGAGAAATGAATTGCAAAAGTTTTGCACTGGAGACATTCGAGGACACTTCTCACTTGAGCTTGTATAGAGTTTTTGTTTCGGAGATTAGGTTAGGGAAATGTTTTTTTTTTAGATCATTAAGTGTGTATTTGACAAGTCAAAGATATGAGGAAAGTCTTGTTTAAGTTGTCTACGGATGTTGGAATTTGGTATGTGATCTTACTTGATGAAGTGAAGTTGCTTATCATGAGCTGCTGTTTGATACTTATGTTTCAAAAAATTAATCTTGGGGGAGAGTTCTATCAGGTCATGTAATGTGTAATTCAGAACGTTGATAAGAAGAGTTGCTTTGAAGGTGAATAAGTTAATTTGCAAACCAAGTTTACCACAAATTTTACTTCGCATGAACTTGTGCATGGTTTTGCATCAAATATTAGATTGAAGAAGAAAAAAACAAATTGAAAGTCATCTCTATGAGAAAAAATAAAAAGAACCTAAAAAAAAACAAATTAAAAGGTTTAAAAAATCTTTGTCTAATTCAGAATCGTAAAAATCACTACTAGAGTTGTCATCAAATTCTATTTTTATTAACCTCTTCTTTCACACCTTTAAAGAGGCATCTTGTATCTGCATTGAGGACACGTGTGCCGAATCATCAACCACTGCTTTATGCACTCGAAGTGATATATGTGCTTACATGGCAACTCTGCTGCCATCTCACCTTCCGACCATTCCTCTAAACATATAGCACACTCTCCTTCGTTCTCCGAGATCACTACACGTGACAAGTTCTCCACCGCCCGTCTCGAGGCCGGCGTACTCCCATGTACAGTGGACGCAAGTGTTGATTCTCGCAAAAAACTGTTGCTCAATACTTGCTCCTCTATACGTCTCCTCAATGTCTCCACATCGCTCATCAACGATGAGGCTGGTACGGTTCTTGGTGCTGACGTCTGCACATTACTCGTCAACCTCGTTAGTCCTGATGTTGGCACGGTCCTTGGTGTCGATGTCTGCACATTACTTGTCACTATCGGCGCTGGAGCGGTCCTTGGTGTGATTGATGCTGGTACGGTCCTTGGAGTCGACGTCTGCACATTCCTGGTCAATCTCGACACTGGTGCGGTCCTTGGTGTTGATGTCTGCACATTACTAGCCAATCTCGACACTGGTGCGGTCCTTGGAGTTGACGTCTGCACATTACTATTCAATCGTGAAGCTGGTGCTGTCCATGGTGTTGACGTCTGCACACCACTAGCCAATCTCGACACTGGTGCTGTCCTTGGTGTCGACGTATGCATATTACTAGCCAATCTCGACACTGGTGCTGTCCTTGGTGTTGATGTCTGCATATTACTAGCCAATCTCGACACTGGTGTGGTCCTTGGTGTCGATGTCTGCACATCACTAGCCAATCTCGAGGCTGGTGCAGTCCTTGGTGTCCTTGGAGTCGACGTTTGCACATTACTAGCCAATCTCGATGCTGGTGCGGTCCTTGGTGTCGACGTCTGCACATTTTGTGCGGTTCTTGGTGTTGACATGGACGTCTCTATAATTATAGAGGTTAGCGAACCCCTCGATGGCAATGGGTCGATCATCGTCCATGTTGATGATGCTGGCATGGTCGTAGTTGTTGGAGTTCTTCTATTCATAGCGTAGTAACTGCGACCGTATAAACCACGCTTGTCGTACAAAGAAAAGATAATAGTAACCACTTTAGATGATAGCAACACTTTAGATGATAGCAACAAATCTTAAATAGCTTCTTATAAGCAGAAGAAAAAGAGAAAAAAAGAAAGTATCGGCAAAGTTGGAATCATTATCTTTGTGTAACTAATTGGCTATTGTTTTTTTTTTTTTTTAAGATATACCGAATGCATAAAATTATCTTCTAAAATATTATAGTAGATTCATACAAAATTTAAATTAGTTTTCATTTTAAATCAATGGATAGACTTGACGTAACTTGGATTTATCCCAAAAGTTGTTTTAATATATATCCAAAACTTTCCTAATAATCCAAACCATTCCTAAGTAATTCTAAAATCAACCATAGCTAATAGATGATTTTAAGGTACAGTATATAAACCACGAATTAATCAATAAACAGAGAACAATCTCAAATTTCATAGATTTTTTATTACAGCATCAATTATAATAACGAAACCAATCACCGATTCAATAGATTAGGAAATTAGCAAAACATGATTATTAGAAAGAAGGGAATTCGATCTCGTCTCCACATTTTCCATGAGGGAAAACCGGACATTCGATTAAACCGGAACCAGACCGGTCAACACAGAGGTAGACTTGGTACAATTGGCTATTGCCGGACCCATCTCTGTTACATTGAATCCATGGAGTGAAACCCGTTGACTCTTTAATCGAGTCTCTTATGCTCTCTATGCTGTAAGACTTTCCATCCGGATTGATTCCTATACGTATTAAACCAAACTTAATTAGATCATTAGATCCAAACCGGTGGTTAAGAAGAGGGAAGTAGATTCAAAGCGTACCGGCTTTAGTTAAAGCACCAAGAAGATCGGTTTTCTCCTTAAGGTTAAGAGCGGTTTGGAAATACTCATGTTGGTCGATAACCGATTGGGAGCAAGTACCATGCTTCTCCCATTCATGTTCCCAAAAGGCCTCGCCTGAGCCGCTCGGGCAAGCCAGTGTCGGCCAGCTCTTCTCCATTGAGCTGATCAGATCGGATATCTGTGGCAAACCAAATCAAAATGACCGGTTATGTTGGGAATTTAAACCGGTTTTTGTTACCGGTTGTTCAAAACAAAAAGAAATGTTATTACCGATGATGAATCGAATGGTTTACTGCTATCGCAGTTAGAAGGATAAGTACCATCTTTGTAATTAGGCCAAAGACCATGAATTCCAAAATCAGCATCTGGTTTGCCACTAGTTGGAAAGCAACAACTCTTTTGTGTGTCACAGTATGATCCTGGCCACTTTAACATAATACACAAAAAAATAACATTAGGATATGTATCCAAAACGATTATAAAATAATCTTGAGTAGAGGATGTTTAGTAATGGTTTAGTTACTTGTTGGACGAAGTAAAAGAAATCGAAATCTCCAGAGGAAGAATCAGCGAAGATCGAAGGCAAGATCAGGAGAAGACTGATCAAACACAGTGATGCATGAAGAAGCTTCATCTTCAATAAGACTGATTGTAGTTTTGGAGATTTGAAGTTATAGGATTGAGATGGTTATTGGTGATTATATAAAGGGAACAAGATCAGAGGAATGTGAACAGAGATATCTCTTTCCTTGTATGTGTTATAGACTTTAATGACTGATACATCAAACGAATCTGGGCGTATATCCCTTTATGTTAAGGAATCTGTATGTATATTTTCTAGATTTTGTTATGTGTTTCCTTAAAACTCTGAAAAAGGACATGAGATTACGTGTGGACATGGTGTGTGGTTTTAATTTGAAGTCGTAACGTCCCTACTTAGTGGTTAGATAGAAGGTTTCGTTCATATCCTCATAACTGGCTAATTTTTTTCTTAATCTCATATATATTTATATATATTTACATCTATATCTTATACAGTCTAATTATTATTCGTTTATAACGATTTTATAATTCTGTAATAAAGATAAAATAAATTAGAAGTTCCATTTCATGATAATAGAGAGTGATGAAGAATTCTGTTGAGGCACGTAAAATTGGTTGAAGCACGTTTTAGACGATCTTATTCTTATGACTAGGGGGCGTAGCCCCGCGCAAGCGCGGGGATGTTAACTGTATTTTATGGTTGTAGAGTAATGCTATAGTTTGGATAGGAAAGATAGAAGGAAGGATATAGTTGTAGGCTATTGGCGACAGTGGAGAGTACGGTTTAAGAGGTTTTAGAATAGTCGATAATCAGTTTCTGTGAAGGTATAAATTTAAATATTAATACGTTGAACATAGGTGGAATATATTAGGGAAATGGTTAATAGATATGAATGAAACTGCAGAGTTGTGGAATTTGGTATTTTATAAGGTTGTTTATGTTGACTCGAACATCTTAGTATTAAAGAAGGCACGTAATATTAATAATGTAAGGAAGTTGAAGTTAAGAAAACACAATAATTTAAGGAACTCTGAAAAAATGTTTGCTTTGTACTCTGATTTCTTGTGGGATGATAAATTACAATGGGATCATATGTCTTCTAAAGGAATTAGTTTTATTTCTAACATAACTTAATTTTACTCGTGCTTACTGTGTTCCATATCTCCAGTTATTAACATTCTCATATTGTTTTATATTTAATTTGTTTAGTCCTACGATAACCAAAAAGCATTGTAATTTATTTTCTTCTGACTTTTCTGGTATGATACTACAATTTAAATGANGGGAATTATTTAGAACAAAACGGATCTAAATAAAATAACAAATCATCAGGACTGAGCTGTCTGCAATATATCATACGTGCATCTATACATCTTGCCCAGCTACTACATAAACATGAATCATGTGTTTTAACAAATCTAATTTATCTTATGAGTACTACCAATAGATCTTTGGTACTAAAGCGTTTGGCATTTAAATAAAAAAACAATTCTAAAACCTTACGGTGAAATCATGAAGCGCACAACAACTCGAGTCATCACTCCTACGTCCTCAAGATCAGACCCTTGGACCGAATAAATCTGGGCAACAACATCTGCATTGGGACACGCAATTCAAGATTTCAGAAAATCATATACATAATATATATGCAGCTAAACTACTAATCATCAAACTTAAGCGAGGGACACACCTGGAAGTTCTAAGTTAGTGTTTGCTAGAGCCTGCAGATGATCATACTGCCTCAGCATGAATTTTTGTTCGTTGATAACATGAGCACTGTCGAGGACTTGATCAATGGTGGTCTGGGGAAGAAATCAGATGACGAAAGGATGCTCTGTTATTTTGTCCATCTTCGTGGATCTAGAAACTTCGAACCATGAAACCTTCACAACAGAAACGTCAAGCAAGGATGGCCGGTAAAAACTGGCCCGACCAGCAGGGATGAAACCATGAATCACAAAATCCTGCAAATAAAAATTTGGAGCTTAAATCATGGATTCTTTAAGGAAAATAAAAAAAACCTATAAGATCAGAATCGTTCCAATAAGTATATATGATTTTTGAGTTCAAACTTGTTTGCAATACCAAGCAGAAGAAGCGTGATCTCCATAAATTCACCTTGCTTCTTGATGTTTTTGGGATTAAGGCAGAACTCTAGCCACGACAAACTGGGAAGAGCGACCGATCTGGAGAGCATCGAAGGCAGTGTGAGATACGACGGAATCAGAGGAAGCCATTATCCAAGATGCTTAGTGACCTTTCTTGAATTGATAGAAGAGGAGTGTTTTTCAAGATGCACAATCCTCCCAATCCTTTGCTAATTTATAGATTTTACATGGAGGAGGTGAAGAGGTTGACATCAGCTGGAACTTTTATGTGAACAATAAAGTTTGGAGAAGTGAAGAGATGCGAGGACGAATCAATGGGGGTGGGGGGTTCGTTTGATTGATAAGGGAGATGAAGGGATTACAGTGGAGGATAGGAGTCGCGTCTCAGAGATAGACGGCGAAATAACTTAATTTTAAACGCTGTGTTTTGACCTTCCCTTTAAACGCTGTCTCTTCAGCATACCAAGCAGATGGTTTATAAATCAATTTGAACCGGGTTTTAATTGGATTCACACGGATAAGAAGTGACGTGGCCTCTTGAGGGAGAGGCAAAAACTCCCTCATTATATATATGATTTTAAATATTGTGAACGCAAAATTATTTGGCACCACGACATATAAATATAAACATAAAAAATGTATATTTTAGTAAAAAAATATATTTTCAATATATGTAGATTTTTGAATCAAATTTTGATATAAATCAATTTTAAATTAATATTTTGATTTGAAATATTTATATAAAATTTAAATTGTTTTATGAATATTTAAACAAAAGATGTTATTAGATAATTAGATTGAGCCATTTTCATTTAAAACTGATCTAGATATATTTTTTCATAATATAATGAATTTCCCATTTTTCTTAATAACATAAGTTCATTATTATTTTTCCTTAGTATACTGCTATTCATATTTTCAAACACTATTATATTCTTTATTTATTATTGTTATTCATGTTTCCAAATAATTTTTAAATTTAATTATACTAATAAAATAGATTATTAAATAAATCGCCAATGTTGTCATCTATATTATTAAAATAGAAGTACACTTATAAAATACCCCTGAGTTTTTCTAATTATTTACAATGTTATGCCATTGAAGTTATTAATTATCCTATCTTATAGGATTTTTTGTCTTTTCACTTTAATTAATGCATTTTCAAAATCAGATTTTAACTAAAAAATATTATGGCAATAATAATTAATGAAAATAATTATTTTCATATATACCTTTCGTAATTAAATAAATCAATTATATAGAATTTTTTACTAATTCTATGTACATAATAATTAATTCCAATATTAATTAACCTACCTTTTAGCATTTTTTTCTTATTAATTATCTACATATCTTTAAATAGTTAATGAACAATATTGTTTTCAAAGATATATAATTATATTTTTATTATTTATAAGTAATAACTAAAATAAAAGTCACAAAAAGAAACATTTATATAATATATAATACATAGGTTAATATAAACATATTATGTTATGTATATTTTATATAAATAATAGTATATGGTAAATTCAGCATAATAAAATTTTAAAAAGCAAAAATATATAAGACCATATATTTTTAATATTAGATAAAAAAATTTAGTTATACATTATCATAAAATTTTGATCCATAAAAAAAAACATTTGTGCAAATATACTGGTCATATTTTTAAAATAAGTATGACAGAATGATAGTTTATAAGATAAAATAAAATTACTGAATATAAACTATAAAATTGTGTGTTTAAAATGTCGTTTTAAACAATTATTTAAATAGGTAAATTTAGAAATATATATTATCACTTATAAAATACATAAAAACAAACACTTGCGCGGATCAAACAACCAACTTTTCGGTATTCTTCTGTCAAAATTAAACCCATAAGTAATTTGTAACCATTTAATTGATACTTTATTTTTTTATTTTACAAATTTCAATCCAAATGTTTTATATATTAAAAATTTTATATAATTTGAACATCAGGCTTTTTCTTATAAATCTTATAACTAATTTATCATTTTTTTCTATAGCATATTAACTCTTACTTCTCAATATTTGATGTATCTTTAACTGAAAAAATATTTTTAATATATCTTCTACATGTTAGATTTGTTTGTATGATATCCAATATTTTTGATACAATAAATTGTTAACACACGCAAAAAAAAAACTTAATGTAATACAATTAATTTTTACAAAAATTTCATTTAATATAAAAATTTAAAAAATAAAATTAATACCCGTGCGGTCGCACGGGTCAAGGTCTAGTAGATATTAACAAGCAAACACTATATTGTTATGGAATGTGTTAACTTTGTGATTACCAAAAAAGAATTAACTTTGGTATATCCTCCTACGAAAGGCAGTAAATTACTAAGCATTTCTAGCCCAGTTTTGTGAAGTACTATTTTTCATTTCCTTGAAACCATAAACAAAATTGTATTTTAACTCATTTGGAATGACATAAGAGATTTATAAAATATATGAAGTTAATTTTCAAATACTACCTCCGTTTCATTTTAGTTGTCATTCTAGATTTTTACACACAGATTAAGAAAACATTTAATTTTACATATTTTAAAGATAAAAACACAATTACCTATGAATCTAACCACTTTTCAACCAATAGAAAAATATAATATTATATAAAACAAATATATTTTGCATCGAAAATCTAAAACGACACTTAATTTGTGATAAAAAATTAAGTCTAGAATGACAATTATTCTGAAACGGAAGGAGTATGACAAATGAGTTAGTATACAAATCATTAGTTGAAAATTACATGTGATTATATCATGAATTTACACTAATCCATAATACATCAAACACGGAATACTATAGGTCCCCCGGGCCGTTACCGACATATTGTAACAAGTGTTTTAAAAGTAGACTATAACTGGACTTAAATTCCTTGTTATTATTGATGTGATGTGTTAAGTTGATGACATTGTCGATCACCGAGTCAAGGAATTTTTCATATCTCACATTTCACTATCTCCTTTTTTTATCAAACATATTTCACTATCTCTAAAAGAAAAATAAATTTAAAGTTGTACAATAAAGAGAAAATAATTTAGCAAAACTATAATCTATTCACACACAAGAAGGAAAAACATACTTTTTGTGGGGTCTAATGGGTAACTTGCAATTAACAAGCATCGAAGTCCAAAGATATGTCGCATACTTTCACCATTATATGTTACATTAGTATTGCATTACGCAGTCTGCATACATTACTGTGATCTCTGCAAAACATATGAATCATTGATCGATAATTAATTCGATATTAATTTTATTCCAAACTTAGGACAGGAGCTTTGGATTTTGGATGAGACGAGAGTTCTGAGAAGATTTCGGTAGGGTTAAGCTGACGTTTTTAGGTTTGGGTGAGAGTTTGTGAGGAAATCGATATCTAACCTGCCATACATGGTTTAAGCCACAAGAATTGTATTACTTCGTGTCAACAAAGTGACAAACTAGATAGATATTCAACTGGAGATAAGATTGGTCGTAGTTTTTTTTTGAGCATTAAGAAATTAGAAATAGTTTTTGGCAGCAAGATGATCAGATAGATGCTCTAACTTCCTAGGAAGATTGGCCGATTAGGATGTTAACTCGGCTTTAAAATCACAGTATAAAAACTATAACAACAGTATACAGTAGTTACATATATTGCACGTAAAAGTATTGTGTTGTTTATATGGATGCAAAAATCTCCACAGTAATATTTGCCATATTCAAAAATGATGAAACCTTTGAACATTATATAAGAACGACTTTCCTAACATATATAAGAGAGGCTAACTTAGCTGCATTGTGGCAAATCTCTACAGACTCTTAGATTCTTTGCAGCCCGAATTGTCGTCCGTGGAGGAGTATTCAATAATCCCCCTTAGCTTAATCTCCCTCTCCTGGTCACTCACATCGGCATGAACCACCATAGTCCATAGATAGACGTATCAGGAACATACCGTGCAGGCTTTATTTCTTTCACCAATTTCATCCTTTCGCTAACCTTTTCAGGTATTCCAAAATTGTTACGGCTGCTACATACCGATAAGAGAATCCTCCGTATAAGTGTAGGATTTATCTGAGAGTCTATCAATGAAATCTATATGCATCATCTCACTGTCCAGTTTCTCTACATTTAACCACCCCAACATCGAACAATAAGACAGAACACTCTCATAAGGGTGATCTCATTAGGCTTCAAATTCTTAACCTTGCATCTCACGGAACAAGGATAAAACCCCCGTTAAGTCTGTTTCTTCTCGTGTAGCCCATGATCATAGCGTTATAAAGATACAACGCACGGCTCAACAATTCGATTGAAGACACATCGAGCAGTATCCACCTGTGGACAAAAATGAACAAGCCTCTAGTTTCATCCAGGGCAATGCAACTGTCTCGTGATCAGGACCCGATTGCAAAATTAATGAGCAAATATATCGACCCGACCCGACCCAATACGGAGTTCAATATTTAGGTATAAAAAAATCGTAAAACGCGCTACAACGATCAATTTATTTCCTATATATTATTCTTGTTTTTTTTTATTCTTTTCTTCTTCTTAAAACCACATAAACCGAGAGTACAGACATCGGAGACAGAGGGCGGCGGATAGCTTCTTCACCGGCGCTGTTACACGGCGTCCCTCTCAATCTCCATTTCCCTCGGTCAAAAAAAAATCTCCAAAAAAAAAAAAACAGAAAATTCAAAAAAACCACAAAAAACAATATTAGCAAATTTCGTTGAACTTTAATCCCTTCCAGATCTCATGAACTGTTGATGCGACGATCTCAACCCCGTCCAAGGACGAAAACCAAACCGGATAAATCAAACATGGATCCGGTTAAGTTCCAGATCCGCTCCTCAAACCGATCCTCCTCCTCCTCCTCCTCCAATTCAATCTACACCCTAACCAAACCCAATCCCAAACACACGAAATCGAATCTCCTCCTAACCGTCGCTTCAACCGCCACCGCACTAGCCTTCCTCTTCGTCTTCTACTCGCTCCTAACCCCCGGATCGCTCCGTTACAGCGTCGTGATCGACGGCGGGAGCACGGGGACGCGGATCCACGTGTTCGGGTACCGAATCGAGTCGGGTAAACCGGTTTTCGAGTTCAAAGGAGCGAATTACGCTAGCTTGAAGCTCCACCCGGGCCTATCCTCCTTCGCGGGGGATCCGGAGGGTGCTAGCGTGGCGTTGAGGGAGCTTGTGGAGTTTGCTAAAGGGAGAGTTCCGAAGGGGGTGTGGAGGGAGACGGAAGTTAGGTTGATGGCGACGGCGGGGATGAGGTTGCTTGAAGGGAGGGCTCAGGAGAAGATTCTTGGAGTTGCGAGGAGGGTTTTGAGAGGGTCTGGGTTTTTGTTTAGGGATGAGTGGGCTTCTGTTATCTCTGGTGAGTTTTTTGTTGAAAGATTTTGGAGCTTTATTGTTGTGTGTTTCTTAAAGGTTAAGTCTTTGTTGAAAGATTGGAGCTTTATTGTTGTGTGTTTCTTAAAGATTAAGTCTTTGTTCAAAGATTGGAGCTTTATTGTTGTGTGTTTCTTAAAGATTAAGTCTTTGTTGAAAGATTGGAGCTTTATTGTTGTGTGTTTCTTAAAGATTAAGTCTTTTGTTGTGAGTGAGAGTTGTTAAAGGGTTAAGTTGGATGTGTTGATTAGGATCTGATGAAGGTGTGTATGCTTGGGTTGTTGCGAATTTTGCACTTGGTTCGCTTGGTGGTGATCCGGTTAAGACGACGGGGATTGTTGAGCTTGGTGGAGCTTCTGCTCAGGTTTTAGTTTTTTTTTTTACTGAGGTGTGTTGTGAGAGTTAAGATAGATGGTTTTAATACTGTTTGTGTGTTGTTTTAGGTGACGTTTGTGTCAAGGGAGACAGTGCCTGCTGAGTTCTCACGTACAGTATCGTTTGGAAATGTTTCGTACAATTTATATAGTCATAGCTTCCTTCACTTTGGGCAGGTACATCTTCTTTTTGAGCAGTATATGTGTTTGGACCAGGTTTTACAGACTAAATTGTAGTTCTGATCTCGTGGATTTGATCTTTTGGTAATGTCCGTGATGCACCTTGTAGAATGCTGCACATGAGAAGTTATGGGGTTCGCTTGTCTCAAGAGACCGTAATTCAGGTGAGCTTTTTAAGTCTAATGGGTGAATAGTCAGTGTTGTGGTTGAACTTTTCTGAGGTTATTAGAGCTTGTAGCGAAGTTTATTCTCGGTCTTACTCATACATTGTTACATTTCTTGAAGCTGTGGAACCTACACGGGAAGGAAAACATGCAGACCCTTGTGCTCCTAAAGGATATAACCTCGACACAATCACACAGAAGCATTTAACTGGATTTTTAGCTGGAGAAAGCAAGCTCGCAGCTTCTTTTGAAGCTGTGGGTAATTACTCAGAGTGTCGATCCGCTGCACTAACAATCTTGCAAGAAGGAAATGGTAGAATACTATCGACATCTCTAGATTTCCATTCCTTGTGGCATTTCTATTTTTTTTTTTAATAAATATAGATTTCTACCTTTGAGTGCAGATAAATGCTCGTATCAGCATTGTTCAATTGGATCAACGTTCACGCCTAAACTTCAAGGAAGATTTTTAGCTACAGAAAACTTTTTCTACACCTCTAAGGTACTTAGTTCTCTCATAAATGTATTCATGCTCCTAATGTATGTAAACTCAAGTGGACCAACAAGGAAACACCACAGCGCACATGCTTTTACTCTGAGAATGTAATAAACATGGTCTTCTTTTCTCATACCAGTTCTTTGGGTTGGGAGAAAAGTCTTGGCTATCTAATATGATTACGGCTGGAGAAAGATTCTGTGGAGAATATTGGTCAAAGTTGAGAGTAAAAGACCCGTCACTTGAAGAAGAGGATCTTCTTCGGTATTGTTTCTCATCGGCATACATTGTATCATTGCTTCACGATACTCTCGGTGTTCCTCTTGATGATGAAAGGTATATTTGGTAAATTCAAGAACTTTAACCAAAAGTTTTAGGATCAAATCCGCTCAATCAACAAAACTTGTTATGCAGAGTCGGGTTTGCGAATCAAGCAGGAGATGATATACCTCTCGACTGGGCTTTAGGTGCATTCATCTTACAAACTGAAGCATCAATCTCGCAGCACGCATCCTCTAGTCATCTCCATTGGTTCTATGCTCTGTTTGGTCACGACTCTCGGACGCTTCTATATTTCATCGGGGTACCAATCATCATGACAGTTTTGGTATGTTTGATATCTAAGTGGAGAAAACCGCAGCTGAAAACGATTTACGACCTTGAGAAAGGTCGATACATAGTCAGCCGCCTTAGATGACCTTGGTTTTCACATGTGTCTCCTCCGGTGATTATAAAGTTTCTCCATTTTTTGAGTCACTGTATAAGTTTTTCATTCATGGGCGAGCAGCAACATCTGAGTGACATATCAGCCATGGCTTAGCAATTGCTGGGCGTCATGGGCGTAGGAAAGCAATTTCTGTATTGTAATGGAGGGTGTATGCATGATTTCGATGTTTTAGAAAGCTTCTCTTGTGCACCAAGTTCGGTTTAGACTATTAACATTTGTATTATAAAAAGCATCATATAAAATTTCGAAGTATAGATTCAAAAGATGGCCTCTACCAAGTTCTAATGGCTGCTGAGTTGATTTGTTCAATGCTCTTGTGTAGTTGTTAGTAGTATATTTGAGTTTAGTAGCCATTCTAGTTAACTTTTGTTTCAATAAGTTGTCTCGGTATAGGTTTTTTTTGTTCCAGCTTTCTTGTGGGTTATTGATTCTGGAGCTATTTCGTTATGCTGTGTGAATATCTGTAGTTTATTAGAAGAAATTTCAATTTGGAAAAAAAAAGATTGAAAAGATGACAAATATGTCTTACCCGTAGAATTGTTCATGTTTCCAATTGTTTTTTTCCTTTCTTTTATTGATATTTATAGTATAGATGGATTAGTTTAATCGTTTATTATTTTTGTCAATGTCCTTTTGTCAAATATAAGTTTCAAAACAGTATTTTTATCTTGTCTAAACTAATCTTTCAATTCGTTGACAAAAAATGTTCTCCCAAGTTGTATAATATCTTAACACTACAACTCTATAAATTGTAATGCTCGGAAAAAAAACCTCTATAAATTGCAGGTTTACTTATGGTCATGTATCTAATTCACTACAATATTGATCTTAAACGACAGTTATTCTTCCAATCATGTAATCAAATAATATAAGCATGATCAATTTCAATAATTACTCAATAATTATGCCCATAAGTTTTAAATTGAACAATTAGGTGCGCAATAATGAGAAAAAATAATTTAGAAATTAGATTTCGTTAGAAAATAAAATAAAAAATTGTAAAAAAAAGGAACAGGTAATGTTATCCGACAGGGAACACGTCGTTCACGTTACAGCATGGCAAAGTATCTATAATACGATTAGACACCTTTATTTATGCTGTGTAATGACTAATGACTAACATTAAGTTTTTTGGTCAACGGCCATTAACTCTGTGTCCGCACGTCGTTTGTAATAATATCTTTTTGTCTTTTTTATTTCGCTTATAAAAAGCGATTTTCTATTTTAGCTGGATTTGCGGGAAAAAATCTTGTGAAGAGTTTTTTTTTTTGATCTGTGCCTCAAGAAAATTATTCAAGGCGCACAGAAACTTCCTCTCGTCTCTTCCTCCTCATTTTCTGCGACTAACCAGGTACATCTCTTTCCATCTATGCAGATGATTTTCTTGCATTTCTGTTACAGTTTTGAATGTTTTTCTTTGATTTAGTCCCGTTAATGTTTTTTTTTATCGGCACGATCATTTCTTATGTGTTTCTTAAATTTCCCCCGTCTGATCGCTTAGATAATATGGTCTTATTTTGTTATTCATTTCGGTTTTTATTTGTTTTGAATTGGTGGACTAGGAATTGGAGGAATGATAGGTTTAACATCAATAGAGAGCAGTCACATGGTGGTCAATGTGGATGGACTGATGCCACCGGTGCCATCGCAGCCGGTTAATGCGGAGGTCGAGAATATTAGAGCAGAGTCAACGGTGGTGGCCAATGATAAGGCAATTGATATTTCAGACGAGGAGGAGGATCAGGAGAATGAGCCGCTCATTGCTTCTGCGGAATGTCGTATTTGTCAGGACGAGTGCCCTATCAAGACTCTTGAGAGCCCTTGTTCTTGCAATGGCAGCCTCAAGGTTGTGTGTTTCATTGTCTCTTTTAGTCTCTGATACATGTTTTTTTATTGATAAATCTTGTTAATTGTTATTGAGATATAGGCTGATGATTGACGAAAGGATTTTTGTGTTTGTTACCAGTATGCTCACAGAAAATGTGTTCAACGTTGGTGCAATGAAAAGGGAAACATCATATGCGAGATCTGTCATCAGGTATCTTTACCCTTTCTCTTGTATTTTGATTCATTGTGACGCAAGAAAGTGCATCATGGTAGAAAAGAAAAAAATGTTTGTATAAATATGCATATAATATGATAAGATGAATCCAATTTTCCTTCATATGGTTAATTATGGCCCTAGTGAATGATTTAAAATCGTGCATTGAAAAAAATAATAATAATAATAATCGTGCAATGCACTTGAATTTGGTATGTCTTAAGCTCAGAAACTGCATTAGTATTTAGTATGTCTTAAACTGTGGAATGTTACTATCTAACGGCATTTTAACTTTTTTTTACTAGCCTTACCAACCCGGATACACCGCTCCACCACCACCTCCTCAGCCTGAAGAAACCACTATTGACATTGGGTACAGTAAATCTCTTATTTTATGCTTTATTTATTTATTTTGGTTGTACTTGTTTTATGACTTATAACATGTGTGCGTTGCAGTGGAGGATGGACAATCTCAGGTTTGGATTTGCATGATCCTCGCCTTCTTCCTATTGCAGAAGCTGAACGTCGCTATTTAGAGTCTGAATACGTTGAATATACTGCTTCAAGTGCCAGTGGAGCTGCTTTTTGTCGCTCAGCTGCTCTCATTGTAAGTCTCAACAACAAAAAAACTCTATGCTTGTGATGGTGACCATGTAACACCATTTTTGTTTTACAGTTAATGGCACTTCTTCTCTTACGACATGCACTAACCATAACAAGCGATGATGGAGAAGACGAGGATGATCCATCTAACATACTATCTGTAAGCTTAGCTTTTCTCTTTCTCATGCTTACAAGTATTGAAACTTACATGTATCTTTGTTCCAGCTTGTCTTGCTCAGAGCTGCTGGATTCCTTCTTCCATGTTATATCATGGCCTGGGCGATTAGTATCCTACAACACCGAAGACAAAGACAGGTTAGTATAAGAACAAGGTTTTGTCCACACAACCAGTTTTTTGTTTTGTTTTGTCTGTGGATAGGATCAAACTGAATCACTTGTCTTGTTTTAACCCGAATCGGATTGAGCAGGAAGCTGCAGCTTTGGCTACACAGTTTGCATTGGTGCTTCAGTCAGGTCAGCCTAGAACAGTTCACTTCACGGTAGCACCAGAACCACCTTCACCTTCCATGGCTACTGCAACTACGTCTACACAACAACCTGAAGAGCACGTCTGATTCTTCATGACTCATAAGCATGCAAATTATGAACTGAATCGAGGGGAGACTTGATGTCTCTTAATTTTAGAATGTATTGAGTAAGGAAAATCATTTGAGCTGTAACCAAAAATGTCCGATCACTAGTTTTTTCACAAATTTGTAAATTTTGTTTTACTATCTTCCAGATATTCTCTTGGGATTTGACTGTTGAAACCACACGAGTAGATTCTTCTCTCTTGTTTTGGACGACATGATTACAGAAGATTCTATAACTTTAAGGGTGTGACTGGTAATATGTGGCGTAAATGAGAGTAAAAAAAATAGCAAAACCGAGAGTAACAAAAGATGAGAGAGAATGAATAGTAAGAAGTGAAAACAGAAAAGGTAACTTACCCTCATCAAAGCAAGAGGTATAATTTATGTATTTTCTAGCGTAACTGAGAGGAATAATTAATTAACATTTTTCATCCTGATTGGATGCAAATAGGTGGAATTCAGCGTGAAAAAGTTTTACTCCACTTTTTATTACGCTAACAATACCACCCAGTCATACTCTAAATAAACGAAATTTTATGGACATAGTATTGTTAGAATTAGAGAATCAGATCAAAGAATCAGTTCTTTTGCAACATTGCATCATCACAATATTCACAGCAGCGGTTACAAGTCATAAGAAATGGAGTTAAATGCAAAATCTGGTGTAATTTTTTTCTTCTCAATCCAAGCTAAATTTCTCTCAAAGCAACACACCTCTATGTATGTTCTTAGCATCAATCTCAGCCACCCACAAAAGAATGTACGTAATTTTTTTTAGAAATTCGAAAAACTTATTTACTAACCTTACTATTTTCTTGTGATTTTTTTTTCTATGTTTTAATCTTGTTCACATGATATCACAATTTATCTTCCGATATATTACGTATTCTTTCACTGTTCTAATTCAAACACGTTTAGTTTCATAAATCTTTTTAAATACATAATCTGACAATAGATATATTTTAGTGATATTAGATAGACAGTTTAATTCTCCTAAGCCTTACAATATCATATACCACAAACTGAAATGTCACCTAAGCATTATCACATCTTGATGCATATAATTCTTTTCTTTTAAACATCATCTTGATGCTTATAATTCATGGGATGATAACATTACTAGTTACATGCGATTTCAGAACCATTAGTAGCTTTGAAAAACGTAAAGATATTACAGCAATTAAGATGAGCTTAACCCAATCGTAAGCTTTATTTTCTTATCAACGGAGTAGAGTTTTGGAATGTAGTATAAGAGTTTTCGTTTTGTGTTCGACAATGGAAAGTAGCTTGTGTCTGAGGATGAGAATCAAACACGTAAACTGTGGGGTCAATCTTAAAATGATGCTATTTATATGACTATGGAATGTTATAACGCAGTTTCCTTGATTGGCAATTTATCAAAATATGATCTCGTTATGTTTTTTTTAAAGCAACATTTTGGTTAGTAATATATATATATAACTAGGATAAGACCCGCGCCTTGCGCGGGACGAAGCCATTATTTTTATTATGTTTTTAAAAATGAAACAATAGTTCGGTTTCATTTAGATTAGAGGTGTTTAATCCGGATATCGGGTTTCGGTTCGGCTCGATTTTTTGGTATTTCGATCATTAAAATATAACTACTATTCTAAATCTATATGTACTTCAATTTGATTTGGTTTATATACCATCGGTTTTCAGTGTATTCAATTTTATACCAAAAACATAATTATTTAGTTTGAGATCATATTATATATTATACAAATATATAATATGATCATATTTAGAGTCATATTGTCACAGAGTCATTTCTTAAAAAAATATTATATATTTAAATAAAAGAATAAAAAACAAAAAAGGCTTCTATCATCTAATAAAATGATCAAATATAGAATTAATATC